GCGTCACGAGCCTGTACGGACCTTCGCCTCACTTCGACGGCGCTCCCTTAGTTCTTCTTTACAAGAACAAATATAGTTTCTCCTTTTTCATCCCTCCTCCTGTGATTTATTCTATATGTCCCGGGTCAGGAGACTTAGCCAGAACATTCTGCGGCTGCAGCTGGGTCTGGGACATAGACGGAGCAGCAGCGCTGTCACTCTTGGTTTTTGTGAGAAAGGCAGAATTGAGATTTTTGAGCACAGTTTTCGTGTCGGCTCGTTAACAAAAACTCCTACACATCTTGTGAGGTTCAGGGGCGGATCTATCAATTTGGGGGCCCAAGGCAAGCAAAGACAAGAGGCCCTCCACAGCTGTTCTGATTTTGTTTTAATTCTTACTACAAAAAGGTTGCATAACTTCTTTACTGGTCCAGTCTTGGATGGCACTGATGTCAAGAATCTCTGGAACTGCATCTGAATGGAAAAAAGAATGTGTTTAACAAATATGTTTAGCATGAAATCATTTGATTTGTTCAAAAATAATGATATTCATGTTTGTATTGATTTATTGCCCACCCACTTATTCTCTTCGTTTTCATTTTCTCGGGTGAAACGCCGCTATCTCGTGCCTTAGTTAGTCTGCTTTCACTAAAGGAAGCAATAAAACATAAGACAAAATGGTTAAATATGGAGATACAGAAAAAACTACACAACCATGTCAAAGTTACCATTTTCTACCTTTAATTTTATTTTCCTTCTCTCTCTTCTGAGTCTTGCCTTGAATGCTTTGTTTCTTTCTCTCCTCCTCCTCTGCTCCTTTAATCATCTTGTTTCTCTCCTTTCCCTGTTTCTTGAGCTTTGTAGATTGTTTCTTCTCTTCTCCTCCTCCTCCTCTGCTCCTCTCCTCCTGCATCACCGCACCTTGAGCTTCCAGCAACAGACTCCTCCACTTCGCTAAAAGCGTTAGCATTGCTAGCTCTAATGCTAGCGGCAGCTTGTTTATTTGCCGCATTAAATTTGCGACTTTCATTGGTGTTACTCTGCTGTAGCACCGTAAAAAAATCTGTGACCTTTGGCAGGGTTGACACAAACTTTTTGCTTTCTTCCTGCTTCTTACGTTTTTCAGACCCACTTGGATAACTTTGCTTCATTTTCTTCTCAGACAACAAACGTCCTCTTCTATTCTTCGCTTCCGCAGCTCCGCTGATACCTAACACGTTGTGGATGGAATAGTCCATGGTAGCTGGGCAACAGGGGACATTGAAACACTCACAGAAAGCAGTCTCACACCAATTCATTACAATGCTTTTTACAATGACATGGTTCACTCGTTTCAGAGCGAAAAATACCTTAAACATATTAGTTAAGTGTTCATCATGGGGCCCTTAAAGTTTTTGAGGCCCAAGGCAATCGCCCACCTTTGCCTAATGGTGACACCGCCTCTGGTCATGTTCTAGTCACCAAAGAGCTACTTTTAGCTCATCAGCGTCTCGTTTTCAAAGAGGCATCAACAAAATGAATTTGTCATCATTATAATTAATGAAATGAACTCTGGTCATGTGACTGAAACCAAGTGACTGGAGTGGGCGGTGTGGGGGGGGGGGGCTTCCCAAAGTCCACCAAAGCCTGTCCATGATAGGACTTTATAAAAAAATGACAAGCACATTTCCATGTTCGGCTCATGTGACCCAGCGATATGGAAACTTTACAGCCGTGTATTGAGACTCCAACAGAAAATTTGCATATTTTATTACAGCATTTTTTTCTCTATCTAGTTGGGACTCCTGTCAGACGTTGAATCAAACTATTTTCAGTTAACACAACTAAATGAAACACTTATCTCTATCTGACCTGGCTAAATTATTACATGTGATTTTTCTAGCAGCTGTAAATAAGGAAAGCGGTTTTAATAAAGCACACGTCGCATTGATGGCGGAGCTGCGTCCGACGGCAGTCGGGCACCACAAAGTGAGTCTTGGCTTTGCAGCAGCTCAGCCATTTGGGCTCCTTAACCTTCTGTAAATGGAGTGTTCATGAGCTGCCTCTAGTAAATATGAAAACACCGCGTCGCCTCACACATCATCCACATTACAGGAACATGGTGTCTGGTTCTCCAACAGCCTGACATCACTCAGTGTTTCCCTTCCTCGACCTTTGTTCCGTGCCAGCTGCGAGGACTCGAAGAGGGGTCCACGCCGCAGCCGCTCGCTCCACAGAGACAGAAAAAACAGGCTCTCCACGCAGCTAAATAGTTTCAACTATTTTCACTTTATATCAAGAAATATGGTAATAAAATAGAATTATTCAGTCAAGATGGACGTTTTGTTAAAGCATTCTGGAATGTGAAACCAACAGAAAGTGAGTAAATAATAGTTTTGCTGAAAAGGAGCCTCCAGACCCTGCAGAGCTGCACGTTCTGGCTGACTGACAGGAAATACCGACCCAAGAGGGCAGCTGTCAGCTGAGCAATGGAAAGAATTATAAAAGTTCTTCAAGAGGGGTAAAAGATGTCGGCTCTTCTCAGTGGTGTGTGTCTGACGCTTGGGCCAAGGGGGCTAAAAAGGAAACGGTAAGTAGACCAAGAGATGGGATGTTGGGACAGAACACTGAGAGCAGTTACAGGGAAAACTGGGATCGTTCGACAAATTAAATAAAAACCATCAAACCAAACATGGCCCAAGGACCAGAAGCAGTCCTCTTCCTCCAGAAGAGATCTCCCTCCAGTCCTGCTCTGCTCTTCCATGGACCTGGATGGAAGGTCTTCTGTGTCTCACACTCCTGCATCTGACTTGTCCAAAGTGTTGGCAACCCTTCCTTTGCAGTTTGGACCGAAGGTTTGCAGGAAGCAACCCCTGAAGGAGAGGCCACATCATCATGCACAACAAACCCACGGTGGAGTGGGAAGGTTAATGGAGACAGAGGTGTGGACCTCTGAGACCACACCAGCCGCAGCTGCTCAGGAGCCCACTGACAGAGGCTTTTATCAAACGCCTTCACTTATGTGGCAAGTCAGGATGTGTATGATTCAAATATTTTTGGTGCTTTTTCTCGATGATGTCCAACAAACCTATTAATTGGTATTTTAAATATATATACACTGTAAATATTCAAATTAGACGTATTTAAACATTCTGAACGCATTTCTAAGGGATCATAGTTTTTATTAACAGAACTTGTAGCCCTTTCTTTAAAAAAACAAAATCACTTGCAGGCATTTGGTTTGCTTTTGCACAAATCTTTACCTACCAGTTTGTGTTTTAGCAAAATGAACAAAAACCACCAGCTGAAAAAGTTCATTTTACCATTTTCCAGCCCAAACCATGTCCATGAAGCCAAGTCATCACATCTCAGGGATTTTATTTAAAGCCCTCTTGTGTTTCACACCCTCATGTTTAGTTAGAGTCATGTCTCATGATTAAACACGATGAAGATGCTGTAACTGATGTATTAGAGTGAAAGTTTATGCAACCTTGAATTTTAAGCATACACAAACAACAACAACAAAGTTGCTGACAACCAAAAACACTGAAGCAAACACAACTCGTCTGAGTTCCTGCAGCTTTAACAGTGTAACCTTTAGCAAAGGGAGAAGGTTTTACGTGGACGCACTTCCTGGCCAGGTGATTGCGTTTTATCTCAAATGGAATTTGAGCTGCAGAGGAAGCTGAACCGTCTCTCAGTTTGAAGGTTTTGTGTGTTGGAACAAAAATAATCTGTTTAGAGTCAGCCCAACGTGCGTGCTTTGGGTCTGTGGGAAAAGGCCGGACTAGCTGAAGGAAACTCACGTGTGCATTAGAACATGCTAGGCCACGCTGGCAGGATTCAAACCTGCAACCTTGTTCTTGTGAGGCAACAGTGCTACCAACTGCAGCATCAGCCTGATTTACCACAATGCAAATTGTACCCAAGTTTAGAAGTAAAACATTAAAAGAAGTTGGGAAGAACGTTTGAACCCATTCCAACCTTAGATTGCATTTCTCATGTGAAAATAAAACGCCGCCCAGTCCCGACCTAAAAACAACCAAACGTTTGGAAGTAGGAGAAGCAGCCGTGGACAGCAGACTACTGGATGAACTGCAGTTTGCACTGGATGAGCAAACTGGTCTGAGCCAATCACCGTGGATGTGATGTGAACTGTCGCTTTAATAAAGATACGCCTCGGCAGCTCTGGACAGCTGCAGCATCGGTGCCAAAACACAGACTAGGAAACAGATCGTTCATTTCCCGAGGCAGTCGCGCACTTTTAGATGTTTTATGTAATTTTATTGGCTAACTGGATTTCCTGTTAACTGCATCTAGCTACGAACTTTCATCAGAATATTCAGTTAGTTGTCTGAGCTCATAAATGACGCGAACCTCCAGGTCTCTGACAGACTCCAGCGAGCCGGTAGAGTGCATGTTGTGGGCCGCATTCAGCCCCCGAGCCTCTATTTGGTGACCATTGCTCTACGCATATGCACAAGCACAGTTAAGACTGCTCCAAATGTAGCTATTATTTTACAAAAAGGACCATTTTATCAAATGTGGGAACTTTTTGGACAAATATTGACTTTTAAATTTAAACAAGACATAATTTTTAAGAACCTCGGTAAAACGTTGAATGTTTTTGCCGAATAGAAACACTTTTTGATTTTTACTGCTGTTGAAATATATTGTTACTTCGGCCTCTTGGGGGAGATTGTTTAAATGACGTGTTGGAATTTAGTTCATTCACTGTACAACAGGGAGGCGAAAAAAATGAAGTCACAGAAAAATACGGAAGGAAAAGCAGATTTCGTGGCTTCTTTGATCTAAGTTTCATGTTTTTTTTTTGTCTCAACAAACCATTTAGACTCTTGAATTAAAAAGGTTGATTCATCGAATGGTTGGTTAATTAACAAAAGTTAATGTTTTGAAGTTATAGATCTATCCAATGAAAGACAAAACATCTTCTGATCAGTGTTTGCTCCTGACCTTTGACCTCATCTAGACATACGATTAGGACCTTAAGCTCCTGTTGTCCTTTAAAAAAACTGTTCATATTTAAATGCACTTTTGTTTTTTTTATTGCAAATACATGTACAAAAGATTCTTTAATGACTATTACATGGAGAGGTGGCAGGAGACGCTCGAGAGGGGAACAGAGGATCGGTCCAGAAACAGAGACAAACAGAAGAAAAGTCTACGCGTACATTTCATTTGTAGTTTTAGAGGAAATTAAAATCCATTTCACAAATATTAAACAACACGAGTTTCCCCTCCTTAGCTCTCGACCCGCAGAAGAGAACATACATAAATGTAATGCATACAGAAAGGAGACTTTTAGATAAGATAAATAAACAACAAAAAGATGGTTACAGCATTCTCTGCTCTAAATTCTGGGTCCAAACTAAGAAAAAAGAAGGATTTCTACACTGTCTACAACTCGGCTGTAAGAGTAGTACATAAAATAATTCTTTGAAATAAAGTTAACACTAACAAATAAATAAATTAAAATGTGATCTGAGCAGGAGAGGAGGGGGAAGGGCAGGGGGCTAGCTGAAACCGGAGTAGTAGGAGCCTGGAGGGGGACACCTGGGGGTGGGAGGGTTAAAGGTGACTTCCTGTAGCTGTCCAGCATGCACCGTTGGGCGGTAAGTGTAATCTCAGCTGTGGCCACGGTAAAAAAAAACAAAACAAAACAAAAAAAATAACCAGAAAGTTTCAAACATCTTACAAAAACGAAGGCACGGATGGCGCAGCATGGTGACAGCTGCTCTGATCTTCAGGTTTCACCAGCATTTAAAGCTTTTATATTTGGTTTTATCTATAGGGCCCACCCCTCCCCCGACCCTGTGGGTTAAAAGCACAACTGAAGCAGGAAGAAACGTGAACTACAGAAATATTAACAATCAATAAATCCTCACAGAGGATTTTCTTTAGTCTTTCCTCTAAAAATATAAGAAGCTTCTACTGAAGGCACTCTGTGAGCCGATTGGAAGTTCATTCAAGTGTCTGGTTCCTGTTGGGGTGGGAGGGGAGGTGGTCGGGGGTGGCTCAGGGTCGGGTGAGCTGGGTGTAGACTGGCGCCGGCTCCCAGTGCTGCGAGCTGCTCTGCGGGATGGACGGCACCCCCGTGTTGTCTGCGATGGGCGTGTACATGGGCCTCTGGCTCGGGGGGCTCACGTAGCTGAAAGTCGAGTACAACCCAGATCCCTGCCCCGCCCCTGCATGGCTGTAGTAACCCCCGACTTGGTGTTCGGGGTAGTCGTACTGCTGTGCCCGAGAGATGGTCGGGTAGGAGGAGGAGGAGGAGGGGCTGTAGTGCTGCAGGTTGAAGGGGCTGAAGGCCACATGCTGCGGGGAGCCCTGCTGCTCGGTGTAGTGGCTCGGGCTCAGCTGCTCCGTCTTGATCTGGGTCCGGTGCTGCGCCGGAGTCACCTCGGAGCCCCCGACACTGCTCCCCAAGGTGGTCAGGGTGTGCTGCTGCTGTCCCTGCTGGTTCTGGCTCTTAGCCAGCCAGGCCGAGCCTCCTCCCGCCTGCGGGCTGAGCGGAGCGCCGCTGATGCTGTAGCTGCCCGTGTAGGTGACAGGGGCGGCGCCGCCGGTGGGGACAGGGTGGCCATTGGGCGGGAGGTACTGGTCAAACTCATTCACGTCGAAGGTCTCAATGTGGGAGATGACGTCGCTGCTCAGCTCACCAATGTCCACGTCACGGAAGTCGATGTTGAGCTGACGTCCGGTGGTGCCGTCGGGCATGGGGCGGGGGCCCACCTCCCGATTCAGGTCCATCTTAGTTGAGCTGTCAGTTTTTGGGGTGGTGGGAGGGGTGGGGGGTGAACCTGGAAGTGAGACAGATTGGGTTAAAATAATGTTTCAGCGCTTGTTTCTCAGTGAATCTTGTTTGTTTTCATGTATGAGAATTCTACCCATTTGCATCTAAAGACATTTATCCAGAAGGTGTGTGTGTGTGTGGGGTGGTGGGGGTGGGGGGTGGGGGGGGGGGGGTAATTACGTGACCAAACAGGTTTTCTGCTTGATCTTACCTGAGTGCTCCCCAGGAGAGTGCACCTCTCCCATGCTGGAGGCCGGAGAGTCCGCCTGCTGCAGCGCTTTGAAGATGGCGTTGGTGGAGATGTGCGTCTGCTCACTGCCGTCCTCCGACTCGCTCTGGCCGTTCTTCACCGACTTCCTGCGCCTCGGCTGGTACTTGTAGTCCGGGTGGTCCTTCTTGTGCTGGACCCGGAGGCGCTCAGCCTCCTCCACGAAAGGCCGCTTCTCTCCTTCGTTCAGAAGTCTGTGCGTAAAAATGTAGTTTGTGCGTAAAAATGTGTTTTAGAAACATGAAACGCTTTAATTCGCTAATAAAATTAACTTTGTGTGGAAGAAAGGAAATATCCTAGATAACAGTTTTAGTTATAACCAAGAAGATTAGTGGGATGAAACGCCAGAGTGCGTCCTAATTTCGTGCGTAAAAGCGCTTACCTCCAGAGTTTGCCCAGAGTCTTGCTGAGCTCCGCGTTGTGGAGGTGCGGGTACTGATCTGCGAGCTTCCTCCGCGCCGCCTGTGCCCACACCATGAAGGCGTTCATCGGTCTCTTCACGTGAGGCTTGTTCTTAGAAGATCCGTTAACGCGCACCGGCATGGGCACCAGGGTCCAGTCGTAGCCCTTCAGAACCTGAGACACGGCCTCTCGGATGCACGCGGGGAACTTGTCGTCCTCTTCTTTCTTGAATTCGCCGTCCATTCGGTGCAGCCCGTTCTCCGACGGTCTGGTGTTCTCGGTGTCGGAACCCGAACCGGACGGACACGGGGAGCCCGCGGAGTCCTCGGACATGCTCGGGCTCGGGGCGTCAGAGAGACACTTGTCTTGTTCCTCCGTCATCTTCAGGTAGGGGTCGAGGAGATTCATACGAGAAACGGATTGGTGCCAAATTACGCGTGAAAATGGAACAGTTGCTTTTCTTCACGCGAGAGGAAAAAACAAAACAAAACTGACTTTTAATAAGCCAGAGTCTCTTTATGCAAAAAGCATCAACAGAGTTGCGGTTTTATTTGCTTAAAACGGATTCTCTGCTGCACCAGAGTCGCGTGCGTAAATCTGATTTGGAGCGTGGCAACGCTGAGACCTCCCTGGATCGGAGCGCTTCTGCACGCGGATCCGTGAACTCCAAAGACAAAACAAAACCAGCTGCTGGGAGCTTTCCTCTTAGCTCTGTGGAGTAAAAACAGCTCAGAGCTCCTCTGTGGTCCGCCAGTTAAATCCTGATCAGGCTCGTGCGCTTTGAACTGCAGACTGGCTGCACGCGGGCTTTATTAATATGTGACCGTTCAGGGAGGGGGGAAGCCCACATATGATTGGCTGGGAGAATGTGACGCAAAAGACAAGGAATCTGATGCCAGTTTTTCCTCCCTCATTGCTCCCGAAAACACACACACACACACACACACACACACACACACACACACACACACACACACACACAGATTTTACGCAACAGCGTTCGGGGCTGTGGTCATTTTAGGTAGGTTTTCTATATTCAGTCTCCTTTAATGGTGCATTTTAATTTTAATGAAATAAAAAGTAAAACGCGTTAAGATTTAAAATTAAATGGATACTTAAACGTGCAACAAGCCAAAAAGTTTCTAGATTAGATTTTTTTTAACCCAACCAGTTTCTGTGGTGAATCCAACCTCTGACTTACCACATCTGGCCAGTAGGGGGAGATGGCAGTCAAGAAAAACCCTGGCTTGCTTTTCTCCACTCAGGAGGAGGAGGAGGAGGAGGAGGAGGAGGGAGCTGCCGGGCAACAGTTGCCGTCAACCAGCATTTGCGTGTTTCTCCACTCACTTCCAACAATAATCAGGTGAATTATGGATCCTGTTGAATCTGCTGACTGTTCCGCTGCTCTGCTCTCACCTGGCTTGTTGGGAGAGCCCGACTGATCCTCATTTAAACTGAGATCAGTGAAAAGGTTCTTTAATAATGGAGCAGGGATGAAGAATGACACGCTGATTTAAGACTCTTACTTCTGTGCATGATAATAAACATCCCATATTTTGTTTTGTTCCCATTTACTAAAATGAAGTGAACTTTTGTTTGTGACAAATAGCCTAAAGCAACAGTTTTTAACAGTGTTTCAGTTTTAAGCTCAGTGGTGTGCACCAACAATCATTTCTTAAGTGATTTCATGCATTTCAGTAATCTACAGTATTAATAATAGTCATTTAATAACAGTATATTTTACTTTTGTAATGTTTTTGTGGAGCATCTCAAGATTTTTCCAGGTTCATGTTAGTTTGGTAGTTTTTTCCAAGTGAAGTTCATGTTTCTTCCATTTCTTCTTGTTGCATGTTGAAGATCCACTTTGTTTAGATCCAACCTTGCAAAATGTGATTTGGGGGCAGTTTTCCAGTGGCCTAACCCCTACTGCACACTAGCATCAGCGGCGCAGAAGGGTTATTCGTGACAGTCGCTGCACTCCAGTTAACGCCGGGAGAGTCTCAGCTGCAAAGCGGCTTCTTCGCTCTGCTCCTCTCTCGACTCACGAGATCACAAAACCTCTGGAGTTCATGCCGTCTGCCATTAAACCCAAAAGAAGGAAATCACATTTGATATTGCTGTTTGATGCAGTAAACTTTTATTTAGAAAATCACCAGGGGTTTTACACTGAAACCATGTGTGATTTCCTGTCAAGCCCAATGTTAACCGTGGAAATTTTTGCGTCCCTGAAGTGGTTTGCGGCAAAAATACAACCCGATCCTATCTTTAACGGCGCGGCGTGCCACTTCTGGGACGCACCTGAAATGTTCAGCGTCGCAGCTGGTTTGAATCTCCCCCACAGGCTATGATGGATTATTTTTGAGGCAGTGCCGTTCCGCTGCCGTTCCGCGCTGCTGTTGCTTCCAGTGTGCAGTAGACTTCTGATGGCGACTGTCCCAACGGCTAGTGTTAACCGTTTAAGACCTGCCATGAAACAAGTTCACCAGAACTTATATTTACATTTTTACACGCTGTGGTGCCATTTTTGGGAGTATTTCAACGTTCTATACATCAATACAACCCTTAAATTCTACATTTTACTTATATTTATTCAAAGTATTCATAGCAACCAAATACTTTACTAATAAATGCAATTATCTATTCAAAAATGGAAAATTGTTTTGTTTTTACACATATTTTTCATTATACAGAAATGCCACAGCTTTATCCCTCAATATTGTCAATGAAAAAAGTTGCACACAATCCTTTCGAACAACCACAAATTTATTTGAAGTGCTTCCATAAAATAGTTTCTGAGATACACTCATTTATATAAACTGTAACAAAAACATAAATAATAATAATAATCAGCAGGAGTCTTAACATAATAATGTTAAATATTTGTAGCTAATGTTTCAGTAGTATCTAGTTTTCCTTTTCTCTCACTAATAATAACAATAATAAAGAATATTGCATGAATTTATATGTGAGGAATCTGAAAGTGAAACCTAAACATCCTCCGGCGCTGTAATGGCGTCAACCGCTTCCAGGAGGGAGGATGTATCGTTTGGCGGGTCCGTGAGTCATCAAAACGTTTGTAGTGGTGTGTGTAATGTGTGTGTGTGTGTGTGTGTGTGTGTGTGTGTGTGTGTGTGTGTGTGTGTGTGTGTGTGTGTGTCGGGAGTTTGTAGTGGTGTGTGTGTGCGTCGGGAGTTTTTAGTGGGTGTGTGTGTGTGTGTGTCGGGAGTTTGTAGTGGTGTGTGTGAGTGTGTGTGTAGGATGTGTTTGTCTAAACGTATTATTGTGAAAAAGCACAAGAAAAAGCCGAAAGACTGGGACTACAAAGAACTACAATTTGCGGGAAAACGACATCAGAGCAGGTGATTGGGTGAGTGATAATCATGTGACAGTTCACGATGACAACGTGATGTTGTTTGTTCCAGCGTGTGAAGCCGTGTGAGCTGCAGATCAGAACGACACAGCGTCTGTCTGAATGAAAACACTTTTCTTATTTGTGCATTTTGGTTGTTTTTGCAAACTCTAACTGCAAACTGATTACATGTAAGGCCATGATGTTCTGTCATCTGCAAGAGTTGCAGTGGCAGAAGGTTGCCTGTAATTGTCTCAGTTTGGTGTTAAAAACATAAACCTTGACCTAGACCAGTGACGTATCTACATCTGGGGCCAGGGGGGACTGACCCCACCAGATGTTACAATGCTCTGAGTTCACTGAAACAAATCTGTGGAAAAGGGTTCTTCCTTTGAGGGTAATGTTTTATAAAGGGTTAGCAAAACCCATGCCTTGTCTGGACATCCCTATATATGATACAATTAATTGTTCTGCACTTTTTTTTTTCTAAATAGATTTTCAAAATGGTCTAATTTGCAATTTTTAAAAAAAATTAGCCGAACTGGAAAAAAGGCATCTTACCCCAGCCCTCACATTCACGGTGCAGTTTAGGACATTTTCTATGGTTGTAATTAATGAAGCTGGAGTGACTAATGTGTTTGTGACGGGCTGCAAAGTTTGAAACAAATCCACAAAAACACTTTTTCTCAAACCACTTTTAGAAAAACAGAAAAAAAAAAGTCTGGCTTTTTATAACAAAACATGAAGAAAAGAGGTTTGGCTCTGGAGCCGCGGACGCTGCTGCACATCAGTCAGGAGCCTAAAACCAACTATAGAAGCCTGAAACTCAAGCACGGTAGTAGGAGAGTGTCCTTTACTTGCCACCGCTGACAGCTATATTAATCACGTATGAATGATTCAGAGTTTGAAATAATCCTCTCTCACTCACACACACACACACACACACACACACACACACACACACACACACACACACACACACTCTCTTTGTCCGTGCTCTGTAGCCGAACCGTTTGGGTCCTGGTGTGGTCACCATTGGTAACCTGGCTGAACACTCCCCCTCTGATTGTTTATTATGCTTTGTGGAGATGTGGAAATGTAAATCTCAGTTCAGCCTAATGTGGACGACATGTGCTACCTGAAGTTGCTTTTAATAGCTAACAGATGTCAGGTAGGGCTAATTTCACTCTGTCGCTCCTGAGCTACACACACATGCACACACATGCTTCTCTGAATGGATACATATCTCGTTTCTCCCTTTCCCCCCTCCATGGTGGTTCACTAGACTGTCTCTGGATGTTGTAATGTTGCTTGTTTTCTGGAGCTGCTGCTGAATGGTTCAGTAACTCTTTCTGTCCCTCACCAATTAGACCTGCGGTTCCACAACACTAAGGCCTAACATCGCAGACTCCTCCCTCCCTCTGACCGTTTATTTACACGAGACATGCTTATTTAAGATACCCCATTTGAACACAAATACAAGGGAGCAGTTTGCCTAATGGCTCGTGGAACGTCGCTGAGTTCGTGTGCACGCCGCCGCCAAAGGAAGCCATGTTTGCTTGTAGAAAAGTGTGGGCGTGAGAGCATTGACTCACAGAGCAGAGGAGTGGAAATTGTGTTGTTGGAAAACCAAACGTGCCAAAGCAAGGACGCTAGAAAGGAAACTGTTGTCCAGAGGTGTTTGGGATCGTCGGGCTCTTGTGTTTGCTTCTAGGTCGATTAGCTCTAATTACCAATCATAGCAGAGCATCATCAGATCAAGGCCTAGTTTAGCCAACGAGCTGCTATTTCCTGGTTGGGCCACTTTTTGGAGTGTCTGAGTTTTAGTTTCAACCAAACACCCATAACAACACTTTCATCTGCAAGTTTTTATGACAGATTCAGATTGTATGCCAATCCAACAAATAATCAATAACAGCAGTGTCTCTAATATGAATATTTTAAGGAATTTGTTGGATTTCTCAACAAATCAGTGTAAAAAAACGTAAAAAATTATATTTTTTCAATAATTTGTGACAATAGTGTTATAAAGTATGGTAATAAAATGATAGTAATAATACATGGTAACAATGTTGACGTTTGTATTCAAACAATCCCATATTGCTTTCTGAATAGTTTGTTAGTTTAGTAAATTTTTTCTTTAAATGGTCAAGAGCCCCTATTTCTTAGGGTTCCACATCCCCCCAAGGCGCTTCACAACACGATCAGTCATTCATCCATTCACAAGCTGGTGGGGATGAGCTATAATGGAGCCACAGCTGCACCGACAGAAGTGAGTCCTGCCAAGTACAGACACCACCGGTCCCTCTGACCACCACCAGCAGGCAAGGTGGGTTAAGCGTCTTGCCCAAGGACACAACAGCAGCATTCTCTGGGGAGCTGGGATTGAACCTGCTCTACCTCCTGAGCTACTGCTGCCCCTTAAGGTCATTTCAATTTGT